TGCGTTCAAACCTTGAAAAGCATCTCCAAGCATCTTCAGCTGACCAAGGAGCCATTAAGAAACGACTTGATGAAAACAACCAGATTCTAATTGAGAAGTTATCAGAGCTCCAATCGATCATGAAGCGATCGCAAGATAACAGTAAATCGCAGACAGCGGTGGATGAGTGCATCGAGGTTGTTCGGTCTCTCCAATCTAGAGAAAGTGTTACACCGAAGGATATCGAGAAAGCGGAAGCCATGCTTCAGTATCTGCTCCAGACGTGAGTTCTATGAATGCATTTTCAGATTAGAGAAGCTAACTATGTGTACAGCATGAATTCGCATTTTAGGAAACTCACCGACCAAGTTACGTCATGCCAATTTCCCAAGGAATCTTTTGAGAGAGAGCTGGGTGACAAGCTCAAGGCTCTGAAGGACGAAGTTTTGCAGAATGAGACGTTGCAAACGTCGTTAGCCTCTATCCGCGAGTCTAATGCCACTCTCAGCGAGCACTCTTTGGCCCAGGAGCAGAAGGTTTCTGAACTCCAAGAAAACCTTGAAACCGCGAAAGAAAACGAATTGTGCTTGAAAAGCCAGATTGCTCTCTTAGAAGGGGAACTCATTAATCTTAAGAGCATGCCAGCCCCGAGTGAGCGGGAACAGTATCACCTCAACGACCTCCAAGCGGAGAACTCCAGCCTTAGAGGGGAGCTAGATAATGCGAAAGGTGAACTCATTAGTTCTATGAATAAGCTGAGCAGCGCCAGCGTCTCCGAGCAGGCCCTTCGTGATGAGATTTCAGAGCTAAGGGTAAGTTGGCATAGCCTCCTTAATGGACAATTCAGTTCTAACCGCTAAATAGGAGCATGTTGAAGGGAGTGCGACCCACCTTAAGAAAGCAATCTTTGAGAAGGAGGAGACCGAAAAAAATGTGAAGGAATTAACTGCTATGCCTAGCTCCATGTTTACTGACCTAGAGTTCCAGGCTTCTAATCGCATTAACGAGGTTCGGAACAAGTTGAACAAAGACGCCAACAGACTTCGACATGAGCAACAGGCTGAATTTGAGAACGCCCTACACCAAGCAAATCAGGCAAAAATGGAGAAGGAGAAGTCGTTAGAGGTGACATTTGGAGAGCTTGTAAGGCTGAAACAGAGTTTGCAGGCCGTTGAAGAACAACTCCGCACCAAGGACTCGACAATCAATCGGCTTGAGCAAGAGAGGGGCGAAAATGAAATAATGCTTAAAAAGGTACAACAGTCCTTGCGAGAAACCGAGAATGTCTCCAAGGAAATTGAGACCATTAAGGATCGGCTCGTTGCAGAAATAAAGGCATCGCAGATAAAGAGTGACGAGATCAACAAACTCAACACTGGGCAAGCGACTAGTACAAGCAAAATTGAAACCCTTGAACAGTCCTTAGTTCAAGCGAAAGCCAATGCAATAGAGTACCAGGAGAAGATGAGACAACTGCGCGAGTATTTTAACTCCGAGTTGCTAGGAAAGCAGAGCAGTAGCAAAGAAGAACTTCGCCAGGCTCAGGACCAAATCATAGCAACCGAGAATGCGAAACGAGAACTAGAATCAGCTTTGGACCATTCACGAAAGAGAGCGGAGGCTCAAATCCGAGAGATCCAAGATAAGTCGAATCGTGAGAAAGAGGATCTACAGCGACAGTTTGCTAAGGCTGAGGCAGCAGAGAAACGCTTAGAATCGGAGATAGAAAAGATTCGCACGGATGCGGAAAACGCGATCAAACACCAGCAAGATAGGAACAGAAGTGATCTTGGGGAGATTCAGCGCCGCCTGAACGAGTCCCAAGCATTGAGTGACGAAGCTGAGGCAACGATCCAGCGTATTAATTCTGATAACGAGGTCATGCTCCAGAAACAGATCGCAAGAGAGAAAAAATGCACCGACCTAGAGAAACGAGCTTTGCAGGCTGAGTCTAGGCTTCAGTCACTCAAGAATGATCTTCGGATTCATCTCAATCAGGAATCAATGCAACACTTTGAACAACAAGAAGCATCTAGCCAAATGGGTTCAGAGAGTAGCCAAAACGTTCAGAGTCCTCGAGCGATAGCCACACTCAGACTCCAGAAGCCAAGGAGTTTAATGAAACTAGTGATGACAATCCAGGCCTAAGAGAGAATGATCTTGGCGTATATGAGTGGCTCGATGAATACGGTGTATCGGCTATTCAGCCTTTGGCGTCCTTGAACGAGGCTATTCGAGAACCCTTGTTGAAGTCTCGACCGATGATGAGCTTTTCCCAGTTCAACCAAAGTCTAGGTCGTGCATCGACTCCTCAACACAAGCGGTCATCATCCATTCTATCTAATCTTGAGACCGTCAGTATTCTAGAAGAGTACGGGATTGGGAGTACGCCTACGCATGTCCCTGATCTGGCCTCTACCTGTGGAGTCCAGAAACCATCTGTTGGCTCCAGGACGCCCAGCAAGGTGCCTCTTAAACCTGCCTATGAGCCGAGAGAGGATCAGAACACGTTCGGTTCTTTGCCTTCCGTAGATAACCCATTCTTTGCCAATATCGATCGTCCGAAGTCCCAGGCCAATACTGCTTCCCGTATGGCACCCAGTATGCATCACTCTGGCTCGACTTTTAGGGCTTCAGGCTTTGGCTCGAGCCAGCCTTTAGCCTATCATAGTCAGCGGCCACCTTCAGTACCAAACGGCGCTGAGCCTCAAAAGTTTGAGACTAGTGACCGTAATCCGGTGAGTCGGTTGCATTTATCTTTACAGAAAGAGACAACGGTGCCATTGAACAACATGAGCTCTCCAGATCATATCTACGGAGGTCTCTCTGGGTTTCATAGAGTCACAACGTATCGGCATTCATCTAGTCGACCACCCTCTGGCACCAGCCAACATGCGGAACCTAGTATTGCTAAATCAACTCCGGGCTCCAGCAGTATTAAAAGGCGTAGTTCGACAAATCAGGACGAAGGTGCGCTAGAATATAAGAAGGCCAGAGAAAAATATTCCCAGGCTGTGGAAGGATCAAGGAGCCGCATCACCAAGTCAACCATCCCCGAGACCCAATCACAGGAATTTCGTCTCAAACCTGACGAATCTCAATCGGTGTCTATCAAGGCATCTCAATCGCAACCTCGGGAACTTCCGATCGAGGCGTCCCGGCCGCAAACTCAATCTTTGTCGAACATTCCTTCCAGTTCGCAGAGTCGTATTCGTTCTTCAACCCAGGTATCAAGGGTGAGTTCCGGTGGAGGGGGTAAGCCGAAGAAACCTACAAAGAGTAAACATCAACCTTGTCGTAATCCAATATGTTACTGACGATTTCCTTTAGATGAACGTTACAACCTTCGCTTCTCTCAGGAGCTTAAACTTCAGTAGTTATTACGCACAGAGCGAAATTGCTGGCGCCTACGCCCCCTTTATCTTGCTGCCCAATACGCATAGACATCCGACAGGGACGCCGCTCTTTACGATCGCGAGAGACACGTTATATCTTTTTATGTGGTGTATTATTTGCAGGATTAGATGCGCCCGTACATCTGAGGATGGAAATACGGTGCTGTGATATGTAGTGAGGTATGGCCCTAAAACTCGAGATTGTTTTCGGCGGAATCTGACCTTTCTTAGAGACTACCACCTCGATGGGTCTATTCGCTTGACTCGCCGTTATGATAAGCTGCCTGCATAATTACTTTTGTTAACGATAGCCTGTGGTATATTAGCATGCATCTTACATAGCCAGAAAAGCTTCAATATCAAAGATTTTGCTGGATCAAATAATTGAATTCCTAGTGCGGCCTCTACACCTGCTCCCTTGCTTATGTTTGTTTGTTTGCAACCGACTTTCTCGCTTCACCACCGCCTCCTTATATATTGTTACTCTCTCTCCTCCCCAGACTTGCTGATAAGCAAGCAAGCAAGCAAAACACCCCTCTGCTTGCTTGATTGCCCGATTTGGAGGCCCTCCGCTTGCTTGCTTGCTTGTTAATTGCTTGCCAAGACAGTATAGAATCTGAAGTTGTATAGAAAATCCGCTATGGCTTCGCCCAGCAGCAGTATATTGCCCACTAAACTCCTCCACCACCAATCAATAAGCTCGTTCGCGCGACTCGGAGGCAGTTTATGAGGCAGACGCGGTAAAGGCAGCGCGTATATCGCGATCTTGGCGTGGTGTAGAGGATCGAAGAAGTAAGTTGCCCGAGACTTTAGGTCGGCGCGGAAAACCGTTTTTAAATAGGCTTAGCGGTTGCCTAAAAGGACTTGTTTACACTATTTGCATTGCCTTGGCCATTAGAAATTAACTCTAAAAACGCTGAAAGGTCTATCAACCACCGCTACTACTAAATTAACTATATACAAGCAATAAACAAGCAAGCAAGCGCTTCCTTTGCTTGCTTGATTGCCCAAAATGAGGCCTCTTGCTTGATTGCTTGCTTACTGCCAAGACAAGCAAGCAAGCAAGCAAGCAGGGTTTTGCTTATCAGCAAGTCTGCTCCTCCCCAAACTCTCCGCCCCCATCCACCCAACGACCACAGCCACAACCTCTCAAAACCCATCAAATCATTCCATGTTATCGTTTATGTAAGCTCTTCTCATCTTTACCATACAGCTCTTGAAGTTATTCGACGATAGATGCCGATCAAGGTCGACTACCCCGTTCCTGTTCCAGATGCCTACTACCCTATGACTCACTACCTTGTTCTTGTTGCCTGTACCCCCCTTGTACCCCCCTTTGTCATTACACTTCCTTATGTATATATAGTTTCTTTTCTTTATAGTTTGGATAGACAGAGTCTTACTCAACTTCTTCTGATATGCATTGGATTGACAATAGAGTAAATCGTAGAAACCAGGTCAGGAAAGAAGGGCTATATATACGTTAGGTAGGTAAGTCATAGGAAAGGGGGGGGGGGTTTTCTCGCACGACTGGGATCTCTTTCTGGTAAGGAGGGTTAGTATTGACAAACGCACTATTAAGAATTATTATATATATCATATGAAGTTTCAAATTTTGTTAATCCGGCATTGGTGGCCGAGTGGTCCAAGGCGGCAGATTTAAGTTTATGCACAATCTCTGTTGGGGAGACCCGCGCAAGTTCGAACCTTGTCCAATGCAACATTCTTTTTTTGGCTTCTGATTCCTTTTCTGCCTATTCTGCTAGGTAATCTATTTACTGTGAGATGAGAAACCGAGATTACCATAACGTAGGTGATAGGGTTATGACGGTCGGTATGGTAGACGGTTTGGAACATTAAAAAACTGCGCACAGACGAAATTTGTTAGTATGCCGACCGTCATAATTCTATTACCTACGTTATTATAAAAATCGATCTATAGAATTGTAGATGCGATATATCTATTGCGTCTGCAAGCCGTTGTGGAGGCTAATAGACAAGTCATCTGCCTGGAGCTGCGGAACGAAGCTCAGGGGGAGACGTGCACGGAGCGCCGAACGAAGCTTAGGGGCGGAGCTGCGCAGGTAAGCCCAACCAAGAAGACGGTAGTAGCCGACTGTCATAACCATGCCGACCGTCATAACCCTATCACCTACGTTAGAGAATGTTAAACAAAAATATATTTGTTAGCCACATTTTTATTGAAATTCACCAGTTGAGGCTGCGCATTACGTTACCTAGTTGAGGGTTTAAGAGTGTTTGGCGGACCCATAAGGCAGAGGATGATTTCAACTCCTTCTGCAGTGCACTCAGAAGAGTCTCACTGATTGCTGCTTTATGCGCGAGTTCGTCGTACGATACACGTATTCCGGCTGTCCGCTCACTAGGCACCTATCTCGAGTTTCCTTGTCTACCATAACAGGTTAAATGCTTTTACAGATCCTGTCCATGGGCCAATAGAGGTGGCCTTCCACGACCGATAAATTGAATTCAACTTGAACCGCCATTTTTACGGAGTCCTGGATCTTATAACTTTTATGAGAGGGTATAAAGGGGGGCTAATATACGGGTAGAAACACCTAGAATATAGATAAATCTAGAGTCGCGTTGGGTGTATATATGAACTTAATCGCTGTAGGAGACGCCTCTAAGAAGAAGACTCTTGTGTAGTCGTTTACGTAACGCCTTGACTAGAACGCATACAGACTTTCAAGAGTGTTTTATATGCGAAAAGTCCAAAAAGAACTCTCTTTCGATGTTTTATTTAACCGTTGAGACAAGACCGCCAATAGCGAATGTTTTCAAGCCCTGAACTGGTAGTAGTCTTATTAAATCAAGCAGTGGTGAGAAAATCAAAGACCGTACTCCTTGTTCACCATTGTCACGGAAATCTACTTGCATATGACGTGAAAGCATACTGAAAGTAGCGTTTCGTGGGGCACTCTTCATTGCTGCAGGAAGAAGAAATGCGGTCAGAGCTCAAATAGGTTAGGCAATAGTAGTGCATACGCATCAGAGTGTTGGAAAGATTAGTATAGATTATCAAATACTCGGGGGATGGGGGCCATTCATTTCTCAACCCACGCTTACTTGGAACTCGCTTCGGCTCGCGCGAGCGTGAAAGGGATTCTTACAAGCAGTTACGGAAAACCCGTGGATACCTAAGTGAGCCCCAAAATATCCCTTCCCCTGGTAGCGTCCTACCACCTGGTGATCCGTGCACCTTCAACTGGACGTGCAATGCGCACCTACATAGGAGAGAAATAATAAATTATGCGGGAGGGTTTGGCAACCTCTATTGAGGTGTGCCCCGACCGCTTTTTTTGGTGGGCCACTCTGTCTGGACCGCTGATATCGAATCACCCTGGTTGGTCAGCCGATCCGTCGCTCATTACCTAGAAGAAAATTGCTTAGTCTTTGGGAAGCACACCAATATTTGGCAGAACAGGCAAAGAGAATTAAACCACATTTCCCATCTGTCTCTGCGTATTTATATGCATGGCACTAACTACACTGCGCGCTCTCTATCATACGCAACTTATAGTAGATAAACTTCTAAAAGGAATTTATCGTTTAAAAGCTGGATAGATTTTATCGCATTGACCCGATATGCTGCTATCTAGACGCTTCATGGTGTGGCACGAAGAAGGGTGCTTCATGTCTCATTTTCCATGTCTATCAGCAGTCTCGTGCTAGCCCCTTAGGTTCACCTGACGTTAGTGGTCACATTCGGGTCTAGAACCCCTTGTCCGATTGCTTTTGCTTCACATTTCCAGTTTTTTTATTTCCGGCTATGTATTTTAGATATGTTTATCCGTTCGCACCTCTAGGGGTATCCGTTGAGAGGCGCCAAAATGTCCTTGTCTTCGGTTTACGAAACCACAGCTCTCGACTTAGCCTATCAAAATATCAGACTCGTTGAGCTTCAGCCGGCCTCCGAGTCCGACTCATCCACGATCAAATGTAACTTTCAATGCTTTCCTCTCTCAAAATGTCCGCCTTACGTTGCACTGTCATACACATGNGGTCCAGCCAATCACCTCAAAGAGATCCAAATTAATAATTGCCGGTTCATGACTCGAGAGAACCTATGGTGGTTTCTCCACCATATGCGTCTCCGCAACCGGCGGAAGCTGTTTTGGATTGATGCTCTTTGCATTGATCAGTCCAACATATTGGAAAGGAATCATCAAGTTAATTTGATGAGGCAAATATACAGCAATGTATAAGAGCACCCGTACAATGGCGCTTACTTTTAGCTGACATTTCAAAAGGCAGCGTTAGTAGCAGTTTGGCTTGGCCAAGCGGCTGACAATAGCGATATTGCTATGGACTACATCCGCGAAAAGGGGCCTAGACCCATAAAACGGAAGGGAAGTGGCTTGCGAAATATCTGGAAGTCCAATGAAGGCAAAGCTGTTTTAGCACTCTGCGAAAGACGGTACTGGAGACGTATCTGGGTCGTCCAGGAGATCATGGCTGCCGAGAGGATTGAGGTTATGTGCGGCCAGAAGAGTGTCGAGTGGCGATGCATGGATCAAGTGATTAAAAAGCTCCAACGTGTTGCGGCCAATGGCCGTATCGAACACCACCCGTATGCTGCAGCGGTTCTCGAAAGCTATGCTGGTCAGATGTTCGAACACAAGACTATATGGGAGAATCTACCAGCTGCATTCAGAGTGGTTCCCCTTGAAAAACTTTTGGAGATGTTTCAGAACCTAGAATGCTCTGACATTAGAGACAAGGTATATGCGTTATTAGGCCTGACAAGAAGGGGCGACTTAAGCGATCAACAGCATGTAATTGCCGATTACTCAAAAAAGTCAGAGGAGGTTTATGTGGATGTCCTACGAGCCGTGATTCGATTAGGAGATCTTGAAACTACCCAAGACAAGAAGAAATTCAGCAAGCTACTTCAGCAGGGCTTAAAGTTATGCTCCTCTAACAGCTTCATCGAATCAGAGACAAGACTGGCTATTGAAATGGACGGACGGACGGACGTCCTGCGGCTCAATGAGAACGTATACAACACTCACTCGATGAGCCTCTTGTTGAATCAGAGCTTGTACAACTTGCCACAGAACATGGATACTTACGGCCAAATTCATTTGGATCCTGCAGGACTTCAAGAACTGAAGTCACGATTTAACTGCTTGCTAAATAGTATCCAAGCACGATGGCAAGTGGTGAGCCATATTTTCCTAGAAAGCATAAAAACTGAAAGCTAATAATTATTGCGAATGGGCAGTTGTCAGAAGAAGCTCGACTTGCAGTGGTTGTTCGCTATGATACCGGCGACACCCCAGCTCAAACAGCAGACGAACAGATTCGGAGGTTCAAAATGATTCTAAGCGAGATGGATGAGCTCCAGGCTGAGCTCAACAAGGTGCGCCGTATTGGAGAAATAGTTAAGAATTGGAAAGCTAGGATTGATGCTTTGGACAGTTGTGTCTGAGTAGGGGTAAGCTGAAAGTCTAAAAACATTTCCGTGGGCATCAATATTTACCCTAATGACAGCCTATCTTTGCTGCAAGAAGTAATCGCAACCATTTGGAGAGACGTATACAAGCTAGTCACGGCTCGGTGCGTGGACTATCGGCCATGTATCAGCACAGTGAACGGTTCTTTTTTAAGTGGGCATGATTTCCGCAATTTCCGAGTTCAGCGATCCAGTATGGAGTCAAAAGAAACACTAGTAATGGAGCACAACTTGGAATCTGGAAGTATGGACACTTTCCTTCACAGCGCCGCAACAAGTCGTCGGGTCAGGCGAGAGACGTGCGTTTAATATGAAGATGAAGGCTGGAAAGTTGAGATCGCTCAGGTAAAACACCACCCCATGAGGCTAGCATGGGCCAAACACGATATTTCAGACAGTACCTTAAATGTACATAATTAGATCCAGGAAGCTTGAGCGCTACACTTGGGAGCTAATATATTTCTTATATCTGCAAAGTAATATTTATCAACGTCTCAGAAGCTCAAGAGATCAGTTCTAATACTGGCCAGATTAATTTATTTCTTCTGACTCGCAATATAGAGTCTTAAGATGGACTGAGCTCGAAATGAAGTCGTTAAAGTGTCGGAGGGTGGTGGAAGGGCCGCAGGTGCCGATCCCGTAAATTTTCTAAGACATTAGGGCCTTCTATATAAGAGATATAGCAATATTAGCCAGTGATATAATCTTGTATGCAACTGGGAAGAGGAGGTATAGCCAAATCTTAGGATTAAGCAGAAGTAAATATTTAAACCTTAAAAGTAACAGTCTTGATATAAGAGTCGTAAACACTACTGTCTTTTTGGCCTTATAGTGTGCTAAGACTTTTACGCTATACGTGCTTAGGCTAATGTAACAGGACTGTCTCGTTACAGTAAGGACGTCTCGGTGAAACACTCGACGACAGTGGAATTCTGTCGAAGCCTCTCGAAGCACGCGCACGTACCACAGCTACCCCTATATCTTGACCACGTCGACCCGAATCTATTCTGTTCCTTGTCCGAACGTCTTATCACTTGCAAGGTCTATATAGTTTAGCTTTCAATAAAATCTTATTTCCTTAAAGCTGCCTCAAAACACCTTACCCCCTTATAGCTAAATATTATTATAATTTTTAAACTTTAATTTTTAAACTTTAATTTTTATTATTAAAGTATATATATTAATCTTAGCTCCGAATATCCTAGAGAAAGTGGAAACAGAAGAAGCGAGGAATGAAGGAG